AAATTAATCTAAATTAAATAAAAGTTTTCCTGAAATAAATACAAATTAATCTAAATTAAATAAGAGTTTTCCTAAAATAAATACAAATTAATCTAAATTAAGAATTTTCCTAAATTAAATACCAATTTTCCTAAAATTAACACAGATTTCTCTAAAATAAATATAAACTTCCCTAAAATAAATACAAATTAATTTAAAATTAATACAAATAAATCTAAATTAAATACAGATTTTCCTAAAATTAACACAAAATTCTGTAAAATAAATATAAATTTCCCTAAAATAAATAGAAATTAATTAAAATAAATACAATTTTTTCTAAATTAAATACAAATTTTCCTAAAATAAACACAAATTTTCCTAAAATTAACACAAATTTCTAACAGAAATACAAATTAATTAAAATAAATACAAATTAATCTAAAATAAATACAAATTAATCTAAATTAAATACAAGTTTTCCTAAAATTAACACGAATTTCTCTAAAATAAATACAAACTTCCCTAAAATAAATACAAATTAATTAAAATAAATATAAATTAATCTAAAATAAATACAAATTTTACTAAAATAAACACAAATTTTACTAAAATAAATACAATTTTTTCCTAAATTAAATACAAATTTTTTTCTAAAATAAATATAAACTTCCCTAAAATAAATACAAATTAATCTAAAATAAATACAAATTAATCTAAAATAAACACAAATTTTCCTAAAATAAATGCAAATTCCTCTAAATGAAATACAGATTTTCATAAAATTGACACAGATTTCTCTAAATTAAATAGAAATTTTCCTAAAATAAATACAAATTCCTCTAAAATAAATACAATTCCCCCCCAAATAAATATAAATCCCCCCAAATAAATACAAATTAATCTCAAATAAATACAAATTAATCTAAAATAAATACAAAATTTCCTAAAATAAATACAAATTCCTCCGAAATTAACCCACCCCAAATAAATACAAACCCCCCCTTTAAATAAATCTACCCCCAAATAAATCCAAATTCATCAAATCAACACAATTTCCCCCAATTAAATATTAAATTTCTCCCTAATAAATAAAATTTTCTCGAATTAATACAAATTCAGTCAAAATTAATACAAATTCAATCAAAATTAATACAAATTCAACCCAAATTAATACAAATTCACCCCAAAATAAACATAAATTCACCCAAAATAAAGAAATTTACCCCAAATAAATAAAAATTTACCCCAAAATAAACAGATTTCACCCCAAAATAAACAAATTTCACCCAAAATAAACAAATTTACCCCAAAATAAATAAAAATTAACCCAAAATAAACAAATTTACCCCAAAATAAATAAAAATTCACCCAAAATAAATAAAAATTCACCCCAAATAAACAAATTTCACCCAAAATAAGCAAAATTCACCCCAAAAGAGATACAAATTCACCCCAAATAAACAAATTTCACCCCAAAATAAATTCACCCCAAATTAATGCAAATTCACCCCAAAATAAATACAAATTTACCCCAAAATAAACAAAATTCACCCCAAAATAAACAAATTTCACCCCAAAATAAACGAATTTCACCCAAAATAAACAAATTTACCCCAAAATCGCCACCTGGGGGGGCCCCAAAATGAAACTCAGGGGATTAAAATTGGGGGGAGAACCCCAAAATTTGGGAAAAGCAGCAGCAACTTTTGGGGTGAAACCCTGAAATTGGAGATTTTTGAGGGGGGAGAAGCCCTGGGAATCCTGGGAGGGCCCAAAACCACGGGAATTTTGGGTCCAAATCCCAAATTTGGGGGATTTTTGGGTCCAAATCCCAAATTTTGGGGAATTTTGGGTCCAAATCCCAAATTTGGGGGATTTTTGGGTCCAAATCCCAAATTTGGGGGATTTTTGGAGGGATGAATTCCCTGGGAATTTTGGGTCCAAACCCCGGGGATTTGGGGACAAATCCCAGGAATTTGGGTACAAACTCCAGGGATTTTGGGACAAACCCCAGGAATTTGGGGACAAACTCGAGGAATTTGGGGACAAATCCCAGGAATTTGGGGACAAACTCGAGGAATTTGGGGACAAATCCCAGGAATCTGGGGAGAAATCCCGGAATTTGGGGACAAACTCCAGGAATTTGGGGACAAACTCCAGGAATCTGGGGAGAAATCCCAGGAATTTGGGGAGAAATCCCGGAATTTGGGGACAAACCCTGGGAATTTGGGGACAAATCCCAGGAATTTGGGTACAAACTCCAGGGATTTTGGGACAAACCCCAGGAATTTGGGGACAGATCCCAGGAATTTGGGGACAAACCCCACGAATTTGGGGACAAACCCCAGGAATTTGGGGACAAACCCTGGGAATTTGGGGACAAACTCCAGGGATTTGGGCACAAACCCCGGAATTTGGGGACAAACCCCAGAATTTGGGGACAAACCCCGGGATTTGGGGACAAACCCCGGGATTTTGGTGATCCCTGCTGGTTTTGAGTCCCAGTCCCGGCGCTCGTGGCTCCGATCCCGGCAGTTCCGGGATGAAATTCCGGCAGTTTTGGGGTGGAATCCCAAGGATTGCGGCTCCAGTTTTGGGGACGGAGTCCCAGCACTTTGTGACTCCAGAGCTCCCAATTCCAGGAAATCCAAAAATTCCAGCAATTCCAAATTCCAGCAATTCCAAAAATTCCAGCAATTCCGAATTCCAGCAGTTCCAAATTCTAGCAGCTCCGAATTCCAGCAATTCCAAAAACTCCAGCAATTCCAAATTTCAGCAATTCCAAAAACTCCAGCAATTCCAAATTCCAGCAATTCCCAATTCCAGGAATTCCCAAAATTCCAGCAATTCCCAATTCCAGGATGAAACTCCGGAAATGGTTCCCGTCCCCATTTTGGGATTAAAATCCTCAATTCTGGCTCCGCTCTGGGACTGGATTCTTGCCTCAATTCCTGCCCCAATCCCAAATCCCAATCCCAAATCCCAATCCCATTTTATCCCATTTTATCCCAATAAATTCACACGTAGGCCGACTCGCTGGGCTGCGTCCTGCCCCAATCCCAATCCCAATCCCAATCCCAATAAATTCACACGTAGGCCGACTCGCTGGGCTGCGTCCTGCCCCAATCCCAATCCCAAATCCAAATCCCAATCCCAATCCCAATCCCAATAAATTCACACGTAGGCCGACTCGCTGGGCTGCGTCCTGCCCCAATCCCAATCCCAAACCCAAATCCCAATCCCAATCCCAATCCCAATCCCAATAAATTCACACGTAGGCCGACTCGCTGGGCTGCGTCCTGCCCCAATCCCAATCCCAAATCCAAATCCCAATCCCAATCCCAATCCCAATCCCAATAAATTCACACGTAGGCCGACTCGCTGGGCTGCGTCCTGCCCCAATCCCAATCCCAAATCCAAATCCCAATCCCAATCCCAATCCCAATCCCAATAAATTCACACGTAGGCCGACTCGCTGGGCTGCGTCCTGCCCCAATCCCAATCCCAAATCCAAATCCCAATCCCAATCCCAATCCCAATCCCAATAAATTCACACGTAGGCCGACTCGCTGGGCTGCGTCCTGCCCCAATCCCAATCCCAATCCCAATCCCAATAAATTCACACGTAGGCCGACTCGCTGGACTGCGTCCTGCCCATGGCGGGCGCGGGCGCCGCCGGCTCCTTCCTGCGCGCCTCCCCCAGGGATTTGCGGCGCGCCCGGGCCCCGCGCACGGCGGCGCGCACCTTGCGCCAGCCCAGGTGGTTGAGCTCGGCCAGGTTGAGCAGGACGCAGACGCCGGAGACGGCGAACATGAAGACGAGGAAGACGCTCTTCTCGGTGGGCCGCGACACGTAGCACTCCACCTCCTTGACACACGGGTAGCGGTCGCACTCGAAGATGGCCGGCACGCGGAATCCGTACAGGAAGTACTGCCCGCCCAGGAATCCGATCTCCAGAGCGTTCCGGAACACCACCTGCCGCCGCGGGGCGGGGACCGGGATCCATCAGATGGGTTAATCGTATGATCAGTGGTGGGGTCGATCAAGGGGCGGGGATGGGGATAAATCATGTAATTAATCACATAATCAATCGTGGGATCAATCACGGGATCAATCATGGGGTCAATCACGAGATCAATCATGGGGTCAATCACGGGGCGGGGACGGGGATAAATCATGTAATCACATAATCAATCGTGGGATCAATCACGGGGTCAATCACGGGGTCAATCATGGGATCAATCACGGGATCAATCACAGGGTGGGGACCGGGATAAATGACACAGTTAATGATGGGATCAATTGCAGGATTAATCACGGGGTCAGTCATGGGATCAATCATGGGATCAATCACGGGATCAATCATGGGGTCAATCACGAGATCAATCACAGGATCAATCATGGGGTCAATCACGGGGCGGGGATGGGGATAAATCATGTAATTAATCACATAATCAATCGTGGGATCAATCACGGGGTCAGTCATGGGGTCAATCATGGGATCAATCACGGGATCAATCATGGGGTCAATCACGAGATCAATCACAGGATCAATCATGGGGTCAATCATGGGGCGGGGATGGGGATAAATCATGTAATTAATCACATAATCAATCGTGGGATCAATCACGGGGTCAATCATGGGGTCAATCATGGGATCAATCACGGGATCAATCGGGTCAATCACGGGGCGGGGACGGGGATAAATCATGTAATCACAATCAATCGTGGGATCAATCACGGGATCAATCACGGGGTCAGTCATGGGATCAATCACGGGATCAATCATGGGGTCAATCACGGGGCACGGACGGGGATAAATGACAGAGTTAATGATGGGATCAATGGCAGGATTAATCACGGGATCAATTATGGGATCAATCATGGGATCCACCATAGGATCAATCAGGGGATCAATCACAGGGTCAATCAGGGGATCAATCACAGCGTCAATCACGAGGCAGGGAGGGGATAAATGACACAATTAATCATGGGATCAATGGTGGGGTCAATCAGGGGATCAATCATGGGATCAATGGTGGGGTCAATCACGGGGTCAATCACAGGGTCAATCATGGGATCAATCACGGGATCAATCACAGGGTGGGGACCGGGATAAATGACACAGTTAATGATGGGATCAATTGCAGGATTAATCACGGGGTCAATCATGGGATCAATCACGGGGTCAATCATGGGATCAATCACAGGAACAATCATGGGATCAATCACGGGATCAATCATGGGATCAATCATAGGATCAATCACGGGATCAATCATGGGATCAATCATGGGATCAATCACAGGATCAATCATGGGATCAATCACGGGATCAATCATGGGATCAATCATAGGATCAATCACGGGATCAATCACGGGGCAGGGATGGGACGGGGACAGGGATAAACTACACAATCGATCATGGGATCAATGGTGGGGTCAATCATGGGATCCACCATGGGATCAATCATGGGATCAATCACGGGGTCAATCATGGGATCAATCACGGGATCAATCGCAGGATCAATCATGGGATCAATCACGGGATCAATCGCAGGATCAATCATGGGATCAATCACGGGAACAATCACGGGGCGTGGATGGGGCGGGGACGAGGATAAATCATGTAATTGATCGTGGGATCAATCGGGGACGGGGCGGGAAGGGGATAAATCATAGAATCGATCATGGGATCAATCACAGGATCAATCATGGGATCAATCATAGGATCAATCACGGGATCAATCACAATCCCAGGATCCCATCCTTTCTTTTATGCAATTTTTCCCTGCCAGGCCTGTGTTGGATGGGATTTTCACCCCTCAGACCTTTCTTTGATCATTTTTCCCACCCCCAGACCCTTTTTTAATACAATCTTTCACCCCCCAGACCCTTTTTTTACACCATTTTCACCCCTCAGCTTTTTCTCTGATCAATTTTTCACCCCCAAACCCTTTTTTTCCCACAATTTCCCCCCTCCCCTCTCCCGGCCGCTCTCTCCCGCACACCTGGATCACGTAAAACCTGGAGATCCCCTCCTGCCTCTTGGCCTTGGCGCTGCGGGGATCACACAACCCCGGGATCCCAACCCCGGGATCACAACTCTGGGATCCCAATCACAGGATCACATTCCCAGGATCCCAACCCCGGGATCCCAACTCCAGGATCCCAATCCCAGGATCACATTCCCAGGATCCCAACCCCGGGATCACAACCCTGCAATCCCACCCACAGGATCCCAATCCCGGGATCCAAATCCCAGGATCACAATCACAGGATCCCAACCCCAGGATCACAACCCCAGGATCCCAATACCGGGATCCAAATCCCAGGATCTCAACCCCAGGATCCAAATCCCAGGATCACATAACCCTGGGATCCCAACCCCGGGATCCCAATCCCAGGATCCCAATCCTGGGATCCAAATCCCAGGATCACAATCACAGGATCCCAACCCCAGGATCACAATCACAGGATCCCAATCCCGGGATCCAAATCCCAGGATCCCAATCCCAGGATCCCAACCCCAGGATCACAATCACAGGATCCCAACCCCAGGATCACAATCACAGGATCCAAATCACAGGATCCCAATCCTGGGATCCAAATCCCGGGATCCCAACCCCAGGATCACAATCCCAGGATCCCAACCCCAGGATCACACAACCCCAGGATCACAATCACAGGATCCAAATCCCTGGATCACAATCACAGGATCCCAACCCCAGGATCCCAATCCCGGGATCCAAATCCCAGGATCACACAACCCCGGGATCCCAACCCTGAGATCACAACCCTGGGATCACAACCCCGGGATCCCAGCCTTTCTTTTACACCATTTTCACCCCTCAGCTTTTTCTCTGATCAATTTTTCACCCCCAAACCCTTTTTTTCCCACAATTTCCCCCCTCCCCTCTCCCGGCCGCTCTCTCCCGCACACCTGGATCACGTAAAACCTGGAGATCCCCTCCTGCCTCTTGGCCTTGGCGCTGCGCGGCGGCCGCGCCGTCACCTCGCCCTCGGCGGCACCGCCGGCGGTTCCGGCTGTTCCGGCTGTGCCGGCGCGGCGCGCGTCCAGCAGCGGCTGTAGGAAGGAACAGCGTCGCTCGCGCTGTTTGGCCGCCTGATGCACGGAGTAGGTGATGAAGCAGAGGCTGGGGGTGCAGACCAGGATGATCTGGAACACCCAGTAGCGGATGTGCGAGATGGGGAAGGCGCGGTCGTAGCAGGCCTGGTTACAGCCGGGCTGGAGGGTGTTGCACATGAACATGGTCTGCTCGTCCTCGTAAACGGTCTCGCCCACGATGGCCACGATCAGGATGCGGAAAATCACCACCACCGTCAGCAGGATCCTGTCAGGCGGACAAAATCACCACCGCCGTCAGCAGGATCCGATTGTTGTGTGGTGGTACCAGGGGTGGTACCGAGAGTGGTACTGGGATGGGGTACTGGTGTGGGAGCAGGGTGGTACCGGGGGTGGTACCAGGGGTGAGGTACTGGGGTGGTACCGGTGTAGTACCGGGGATGGTACCGGGGATGGGGGAGTGGGCTGGAGTGCCTGGGGACACCTGGGGGACACCTGGGGACACCTGGGGACACCTGGGGGACACCTGGGGACACCTGGGGGGCACCTGGGGACACCTGGGGACACCTGGGGGCCACCTGGAGACACCTGGGGACACCTGGGGACACCTGG